AGTTTTATAGAATTTTTTTAGCAAAATATATAATGGGTATTTGTAATTTTTATGGACGTTAATAGCAAGCAGAACGTTTATCTGAGAACACTTCAGTGTAGCAAGCAGTGCTTTGCTGGCCATTGGACTATAACAAATTGAAAATGTGATCTATTAGGAATTTATCTCACTGTTTTACAATGTCATCTCATTTTGTACTTAAATTTTATGCCTATAATTTATTCATATGTATAGCTTAGGCAGTTGTGAATGTTGGAGTCCAGCTAAATTTTAAAAAATCATCACATGATGCATGTATTGATGCAAAGCATATGTACTGGTTTACAATTTAACAATCTATTATGAAACTCTGTATATCTTATACTTAGTGTACATTTCTTTCTGAAATAAACATTGAAGAGGACAAGAGGTGCCCTGGTTTGTGAGTCAAATGAGTCTATCAGTCAATAGACCATTTCCGAGTTGCCTTTTGTGCAAAACCATTCATACAAAAAATGAATTCAACCTACAGGTTCATTTTCATGCAAATCAAAGTCATTTTCATATGAAAGGTTTTGCACCAGGACTCGTTTTGAAACAGAGGCACAAGGTAACTCAGAAATGGCCTATTAATGAGTGACCATTCTCTTTGTCATTCAGTGTGTCTCCCTCAAAATAACAATTGCAAAAAAGACAGATGAGACACTCATCAGTTAAATTGCAGCCCAGTTAGGCTGTACTTGTTTGACTTGTGTAAAATATTATGGTCTCAACTCTGAATAATTCCCTACAGTGCCTTGCAGATTCTTTGAAAGGTAAATCATTCTTAGTACATAAGCCATTCTGACTTGCAACCTTGGTTTGGAGAACAAAATAAACCCAGCTGATCTTGAAATAAATAGAAACAGCTCTATACTCTTAATATAAAGAAACAGTTGTCTGCCAAAATGGAGTTTGGGAGCCATAAGCAAAACTGGTCATAGGAAAAATTAAATTTGGGCAATCAAAATATATGGCTTTCATAACCTATTCAGCTGAAACAGTGGAGCTTGATCTATCATCATCATCATCATCATCATCATCATCATCATCATCATCATCATCATGATCATCATGATCATCATCATGATCATCATCATGATCATCATCATTATCAATCTGAAATAAAGGAATAATTATTGGCCTTTTGCACAGGCATTTACGTGACAAG